TATTATTCTGATTTTGTACTGCACTGAAACAGTGTTAAACGAATTGGTTAATGCATGGGAGGAAGTTATTTTTCAAAAATATTAACTTGCCTTATAAGTAGGATTGTCATAAGCTGATTCAGAGGGTGCACGCGTAATTGGAGCCTTAGCACTCGACTGTTTTTTTCATAAGGATAATCAACAATACAATAAATCCCAGACCAGCCACAGCTGCAACAATAGCCACAATAATCAGGGCAACATAGTAGGCCTTCTTGGTGTTACTGTCATTAGATGTTCCCTGGAGGGCCTCTGCTTCTTTCACTAAACGCAAATGACGAACATACATTAGAACATCCTACAGATAACTTACGATTTCACGTCGTTGTAACATTTTACTACTTTGTAAGTTTCTTCAAAAGTAACTGAATATAAATACACTGAATTTACCCAATGAAAACCTAATTTTTCGCCGTTTTTCGAAGTACCTAAACTGCACTCAACTCAGCCACAAATACATTTTACTTATAAAATCACCGAAATTCGTTTATAAAACTATTTTTGAACAGTTTCTATTGAATTAAGCAAGTCATATTTCCTATTACAGAAAATTAGTCCGAAATCACACATATATAGCGACTTAAATTTTTACGTGTACAATAAAGTCGTTTATTAATATGGCTGTAATTATATAACTAATGAAATGCAGTTCTACTTGTGATGAATTCTACTTGATTATTTTCAGTTAGTAGAAAATATGAAAACAAAAGGTTGTATAAAACTAATTTACTGATGTTCAAGATTTAACAAAGATATACATTTTTCTTACAATGGCAACTTAATACTTGCATGTGTAAAAAAATATATCTTTACGATAATCTTACCAACGTCTTCTTTTCCATTTTTGATAGTAGTTGGTGGTTTAGGAGCTCCTGCCTTTGTCATGAAGTCAATGACGTCACTTGATACAGTTTTTCCATTGGTCAAATAAAGATCAACCCACAGCTTGTACCTAAGTGGTTACAAATTGTCGAAATTAAATGCGACTCTTTTGAATTCAAATAATAAAAATAAAGAAAACCCTACTAATATTACGTGAATAAAATCATAGATCAAATTATAACATAAACCCATCTTTCCTATTGGTTCGTACAATTTTACAGCGTGGTCGCGTAGAGGGATATGAGATGCTTATAAGGGTCCTTAAAAAATAAAACACAAGCCTTTTGTGAATTGCAACTGTGTATCAGGTGAACCCATGGGTCCCAAACGTGTTAATTTTGTGTATCTTACAAGTGGGCCAATACAAGGTGGAAACATGTATCATCAGATGGGCAACTGGGCACCAAAAATATTAATATTGTTACGACAGCGGAAGTCACGTGACGCTGGTAACACGTGATGAGTTTCTAGAATATTCACGAAGAAACGAGATATACGCTTTTTGTATATATAAGACCGGTAAGAAGTGGCGGCAACAATGGAATTGAATTGCAGACAGAGATAGAGACGGACAATTTAGTCTGTTTGTTTGTTTGTTTTGAATTT